ATGGTATTATTCATATAATTTATGCTATTATAAATCTATTATATTCTGTTGTACTCACTTTTTATATTATTCACTTTACTACAACTTGTACTACATATACTTTTTAATATTACATATCACTTTTACTGTGCACTGTATCAGTGCATGATATTTTACCACTAACTGTACGTTTTACTGGATCCATAAAGGATTATCAGTTGCATTTGTTATTGTTTGTTGTGGAGATTATATCTGTGTAGAGTGCTATCAAAATAAAAGGCAGACTACCAAGAGCGTCACTTTTTGATACAGACACTTTTAACTAAATGTAAATAGACACCCCGTATTTTTTATTCCAGCGTAAGGGCAATTCATACAATACATTTAAACTGAGCTACTTTAATACCATCTCCGAACTTTCTACCACGACTCTGCTGTTCTTCGGCTGGTTCTTCCTGTATACGTTGATTGACAGACATGTGCTGGCACCCAACAAAAATATACCATTATTCCAGCCTCTTTCAATCTGTATAAAGATAGATACACTTCCATTAATAAATCTTCTCTGTCTGATCTCGCATGTGCTATACTAATTAAAGCTGAAGACGAATCTGAACATATTACCACTTTATTTGGTCTGACTTGTTCAACCCACTGTAGTCCTATTATTATAGCTGTTAACTCTGCAGTGTATACTGATAAATCATCTGGCAATTTCAAACTAATTCTTACTTTAAATTTGGGAATATATACACCTATTCCAACCTTTTGATTAACAGGTTCCTTAGATCCATCCGTAAATATTTGTAATGTTGAATAAAATGTATTATTTGGAATAGCATTAACCTCCTTTTCCAATGTATTCACCTTTGGGCTTGTCAGTGTTTCCCAACCGGGGTGCCGTGTAAAAAAAAATCATTTTTTAATATTTTTAAATTGCTAAAATGTTTAATGCCTTTAACTACATTTTTAATATTGCGTCCTCTCTTCCATAGTCCTCCATCATCTGCATAAAATGCTAATCCTATTCCTGTTTTTTTTTACTTTATCAAAGACATCATTAATCATTAAATTAAACAATATTGGGCTAATTGCACTACCCTGTGGAGTTCCATTTAGAATGTTATAAGGATCTGATATTTCTTCTCCAATTTTAACCTGAAAGGTACGTTCAAATAGAAAGTCTAAAACCCAATTATAAAAATTTCCACCTATACCTAATTTATTCAGTTTAATTAGCAAACCTTCCCTCCACAAAGTGTCATAAGCCTTTTCTATATCAAAGAATACTGCAAACATGTATTCTTTCATAACTTCATTTTTTTAACTTCATTTTCAAATAGTATCAAAGCATCTACTGTAGACCTACTTTTCCTAAATCCACTTTGAAAAGTTGATAACATTTCCCTTTTCTCCAAAATGCCCGTCTCTATTCATCTTTTCCCTGCGTACTTAAAGGAGCCTCGGCTTTATATATAACTGCATTAGTTATGTCCAACAAGGACATGCAGATTCTGTCACTACCTATCCAGTTCTTCATAGAGCTCACATTTCTCCTTCCCATAGCAGCAGATATCTCCCTTCTCTGCCCCAAAGGTGAGATAAGACAGTCTAAATGTCTGAAAGACACTTCTGAAAGAGAAAATAATTTCTCTGAAAGTGTTTATGTAAAGCAAAAAAAGCTTGCTGGTCTAAGAGGAACCTATAATATAATTGTTCATCTGTGCACAAAATGTTATAGATTGTTTCCTGTGTTGTTTAATTTGCCAAAAGTAAAGGAGCCAACAGCTGGCAAATATTTTGTTATATTCTTCTGTTTTGACATTAAAATGTACAAATTACTGTATTCTGGCCACTAATGTAAACATTTTACTTGATATGGTAAGTTTGGTAAATAGAACTAAAACAGCGTGAAAGACAAGTACTGCAGGGTTGCTGATTTCACAACTTCAACAAATATTTGATAGTTCCATCAGCATTGAGTCAAAATGATTTTCATCTGATTCACAGTGCACCATGTGTTCAAATCAGTTTTTTGTGATCCATATAGTCTCGTGTCTACTAAATGTCCCGTTTCTGGTTTAAAAAAAAAGTGTAAAAGGTAATGTTTATATTCCTGTTCATGAGTTTGTGATTAAAAGTTTGTTTGAATAGCAACTGAGCAAACAATTAAGGAATGGCACAGAGCAATCAAACTTTATGCCACAACAGATACATTTTGGCAAAGTTATTAACACATTTTAAAGACTCTCAAGGGAAAACAAATATACAATAAAAATGGTGAACCGCTGTAGGCTCATTTAATAAGCATAGCCTGTCAACTACACATCTGGCAAATCATTGGCTGTAATCATTAAATCACTCTTAATACATGACACAATCTATCAATTTTTTACATGTTAACAGTAATTCTAAACTTAACTTTGTTCTGCACTGAAACTACCTATTTGAACAGTTTTTGTGATTTGGGGAGCATGCACTAATATTTTCAAAGATGCTTTAAAATGAAACGGGTGTAATGTTCTTATCAACACTCAAACTTCAGAGTCAGCTCGGAAATCACTTTTAATAATCCAGGAGAAATCACAGGGGTAAATACACATCCACATGAAATACAAGGCAAAAGTAATTGAGACCAGACAAGGAGTAGAACCAAAACAGGGAGTATAAACACAGACTAGGGTGCTAAAAGAAACAGCTGAACAGATTTAGTAAACACCGAGATTAACAAGGAACTCAGGCAGGTAAAACGGAACAAAAGAAACTAAACCAAAAACAGACCACACGTGACATTTCGCCAACTCCCCGTCACGCTGCACAAAAAAAAAAAAAGGAGGTTCACCTGAGGAGAGAGGGGGCTCAATAGGAGAGCATGGAGCAGGAGAAGGTCTGGAACAGGGAGAAGGTGATGGCAGGAGCAACCAAGGCAGTAAAGACAGTGGAAGGAGCCAGGAGCAGGAGTCGTCAGACAAGGACCCAGGCCACAGCCAGCGAGAACTTCCATGGCGGAGTCACAGTAAGGAGGTGCCATGATGGAAGCTTGGAAGGAGGGTCCAGCAATCTCCTGGGATGGAGCCGGCCAAGATGGAGACCCAGACGGAGCCAAGGAGACACGGAGCCAGGGTGACATTGCAGGCCTGGAGGGAACCAAGGAGGAAGCAGGGACCAGGAAGCCCGCGGAGCCCGGTGGAGTGGAATGGATGGACGGCAGAGGTGTAACCAGCAGCCAGGGATCCCGAGGTGGAACCAGGGTGACACCTGACCAAGGTGGAGCTGAAGGGACAAGGGAGCCCGGCAGAGTTGGTGGGTAAGATGGCCAACGGCCACCTGCTCCTTTATGTCATCTTCAGCAACCGGTAACACCCCTTTATCAAAAAGTCCAGCCAGCAAACAAGCCTTTAAATCTCTTTTAATAATGCACTTCAACAGCTAATTACTCTTAAACACTGATGATATATAGAACTACCACAAAAATGGGAGTTCAGAGACAAAATTTGCACTTGTTTCTCTGATGCATAAGGTCTATAGGTCCTATTGCTCCATTTGATGATCATGAGGTAGGTCCACTGCTGTCCTTAACCGAAGTTTGAACCAAACCCTTGAAGCAGAGAGGTCTTCAAGCGAATTGAAGTGAGTAGCCTCGTTTTATAGTCTGCATAACCCATCTTGACACACCCAGGATAGCATACCAAGCCTGAAGCTGGGCGGCAATGGTCCGCTATCACAGCGGTAGTTTGCTTGGGTATGTGCAAAGTGAGTGAGACAGGCCCAGTGTTGACAGTGTGAACAAAGCCTCCAACACCCAGAGCTGAATGGGAGGCTGGAAGGCAAGCGAAAAATTCATAGAGGGAGCCCAGGCAGCCAAAACGATTTGGCCCGATAATGGCCCAGATCCAGATGAAATAACTCGGCCCGGCTGCAGTTGCCAGAGTCGGCATGGACATGGGATGAATGACACCCCAGAATCGGCCCAAATACACTGGCCCGAGTCCGGCTGCCGGCATTGGGCCACAATCACG